TCTCTCTCTCTCTCTCTCTCTCTCTCTCTCTCTCTCTCTCTCTCTCTTCTCTCTCTCTCTTTCTCTCTCTCCATATATTTATGTCTGCATATATGTATATATGTATATATGTATGCGTATATATATACATATATATATATACACACACATACACATATATGTCGCAGTGTGTGTGTGTATGTGTGTGTGACAGGAGGTAATTAATTGAGGGAAGGCACTGAAATTAAAAGGGATTTGGAAAGGTTACCTGTAGAAAGTGAGATTTTAGCTGAGATTTGAAGGAAGTGAGGAAGAAGAGCATTCTAGGCATGGCAGAAAACCAGAGAAAATGCTTGGCTCAAATCCTACTCTGTAAGTTACTAGCTGTGTGTCCTTTCATAAGTAACTTTGAACCTCTGGGCTTCCATTTCTTCATCTGTAAAATTTTGGCATTTGAACTGAATGACCTCTATGGTCCCTTCCAACTCTAAGTCTACTAAAATTTGACTATAAGATCATTGTCTCAGCATGATATATATGGATTCTTTCAGTAGCCTCGGATAGAGTTGTACAGAGACTTGTTCAGTAGCCTCTTGATGAATGTCTTTTATTCTTATAATCCAACCTCTCAAGTTCTTTGAATGTATTATGTTCTCCAGGAAGGGCTTTTAAATTTCTTCACATAGAATACATTTCTTTTCACCCATGAAGAAAGAACAGAGGCATGTTGTTCTTATGTAAAACAAAATCTTTCAAATGGGGATTCAGGAGTCTTCTAGACTCAACTCTATTACTAACTAACTCATTAACTTAATCTCATTTTACATCAATTTCCCCATCTTTTTTAGGTGAGGCATGAAGGAATGGAATTAAATGATTTTTGGTTGCTTCCAACCTTAAATTTTGTAAGCTATAGTTTGAGCCAAGTGCTAACTTTCTTCAACCAACAAAGTTCTACAGTTGAGATGTATCCTTATCATTGTCACTGTATTAATTGCACTTCTTGGTTTCAGAGAGCATAGTTTGGTTTGCCACCAGGATACACGTCGTGCTTATGGTGGTAATCAGGCTTTTTCCTGGCTTGAATTAAGTCCCTTGTTGTTTTAGTCATTGAAATGATTGGCATTTTTGAGCATGTACCCAGAGGCCTTGATATAACAATAAACAACCTCTCAATATATTCTGAATCCTGTAAGACACCATTTTAAAAATAGAAAATAGAATTTAATTATGGTGAGTTGCACCATCTTTTCATTTTACTTCAATGGAAACATCAACAAACTCTATTGCAAAGACATTTTTCCTTTTAAAATTTTCACTTCTCAAGTGTCTATGTGAAGGTTATGCTGTAATTTCAGAAAGATTTTTAAAAATCTAAATAGCATACATCTTGAATTACCAAAGTACTAGAAAAAACTACAAAGGAAGTTCCCTTTTCTTTCTATATTTGAATATGTTAGAATGAATATTGCTATTTACATTTTTAGTCTTTAACAGAGCTATAATTAAATTAAGCTCTGTGGACCCTGTTAACATAAACTGAATACACAAATACATATAACCTTAATCCTGGTTTAGTTAGATTCCAGCAGGGTTAATTTTTTTTAAATGTTATTACCTGTTTTTAAGAGAACTAATCAATACTCTCAACTTAAGCCCCAAGGAAAATAAACTATTCAATGCTTGAATGCTTGGTTGAGATACACTGAGAATGGCATTTCTCCTGTTTATTAGTTAAAACAATCTTTCTTTTTTAATGTTGTCCTTTAATGGGTTTTTAAAAATTTAAAACCAAAAGTAAATATCAGTTCTATGTTTTAGAGGGAGTTTTCATTTCTCTCTTTCTCCTCCTTCTTCCACTTTGGGAGGACATGGATTCATTCAAAATCTCCAAGACCTTAAGCATGATGTCTACTCTTCTGTGGACACTTTGTCTTTTTAAAAACACTCTTTGGAGTAACTCTGATGACAAACTGAGAAAATGGGATGCTCTGGCAATTAGCAGAAAATTCAAAGGTGACTGCAATTGATAGTTTGGCTACTGACTTATAGAAAAGAAGTTTAGAGAATCTTCTATAAGATCTCAAAACATCTGGGCATTTGGAGGGACAATGTCAACTCACAGAAGAAATGGCAAGTGAACAAATATCATTAGTGCTCATGGTAAATGATTATGCCTATCACTCAGAGAGCTGAACAAAATATTATGAGAATTTTTAAAAAAATGTATTCTCTCTGTTTCTTGCATTGGAAAATATATATTTATATATCTCTATCTATCTCTACATAGACATATATGTGTGTGTGTGTGTGTATGTGTACATACATACATATAAACTTTTTGTCAGAGTTCAAGAATGTCACAGTTCAGATTACCAACAATCTCTGCCTTAAAGATTTCTGCTTCCATAGAAGACTTGATTTGGCTACAATTGGATCAGGTAGGCAGGAACAATTGGTCTTTGCTTCCCAATTCAGAAAGTTTATGGCATTATTGACCTAAAGAGAAAACCTCTTTCATAACTTTTTAAAAAAGTTATTGAATTTTGATGCTGAACAAATATAAAAAGATAATAGTAATAAGATACAACAAAGATAATAATGAGTTCTACAAAGAAAATAGGACATAATAAAGATTGTATATGAAACCATGAATCTGCATTCCATGCAGCTTTATTTACATTATAAAATAAATTCAACACTAACTTTCAAAGCTGCTTTCTTGTCTTTTTCTTCTTCCTTCTGAACTTTTCTCTGTTCTCTTCTGTATATTAAAAAGAAGGTTTAATTACTCTTTTTTATTTCTTCTTTTTTGGGAGTTAAGCAGGGGACATAGTGATTTTCCTACATTCCTATAGCATCTTCAGACATGGGTTCAAACAGGAATTCATTTAAAAAATAGGTTGATTTAGATAGTGTATCCATCAGTGCAGAAGATTGTCATAAATGTATTACATGACATGTTAATATGTGATGTTTTGTATGTCAATATGTGTGTATTGACATAGATATTTTATGTCAAAAAGCAGCCTTGAAGTATAAAAGTTTGAGAGATTGCTATTATATACACAAATATTACAAAATCATTCTTTTGGACAAAAAGCTATATTTATGTTAGTGTGAAATTTCTAGGCATTCAAATAATATCTATTTTAATTTGGGAGGGGGTTCCATTTTCTTTCCTTCATTTAGTTTTTGATGTGATTACTTAGATGAATTTGTGAAGGATGTTCCTTCTGAGGATACATAACATAATTAATTTGTCCCTGCCTATCTAGATAATTCATTTCCATGCCTTTCCATAAATTACCTATAGCCAATCTATGCAACATGTGAGACATCTTCCTAGATTTCCTCTGACTTGATGGGACAACAGTGAAGCATAAAAGCTTTGAAACCTCTTGCTGTCACGATATGATGGGCCCATATTAATTTCCTATCGATATTATCCTCATGACATCTTTCACTTATTTTTTTCATCACAGTTCCTCATCGCTTATATGCTGTAACCTGTTTACACTCCACCATATACCTTTCCATTGCCTGCTAGATGAAATTCATTCCATCACATGTATATTCATATATTATTCAGTTTTTGTTCTTACCTTGTCATCTACATCTCTACTGTGTTTTTCTCACTCAAAAAGGAAAGGTTTCTTGAAATGTTTGTATTCATAAGGAAAAATCCAGATAGCAAATTGACCTAAATTAAATGAGAGTATTCTACTTTAGAATTATACATTTTAAGGGCATACATTCCCATGTTCTTTGCCCTCTGTATTTCACTTAGTCATATTGTATCATTCCACGAAGCTTTGGACAATTTTTTATAAGCACATGACCTTTTATTTTTTTAAAGACCATGACAGATGGTGACCAAAACCATACTAACAGCACAATAAGCATTACCAATGTACCTATAAGGACTCCCTATTCATTATAGCTTCATGACTCCACAATCCTCTTTAATTGAAATTGATTTCCCCAATTTCAGCGCCCTTGATATATACAATTTCCTTAAAAAAGTTATCAGAATAATTATATGTTGGCAAAATATAATGGAAGAATGGCCAGGACAATGATTCCTGTGAGCAAGTTCATTTGATGAGCTCCCAGGACTCATTGGGCAAGCCTCCATTAAAGTAGTTGTCAAGTTCTGCCTGCACTGTTTTTAATTTCTGTGTTTTTAATAGAAAAAAGAGAAGGCATCTGTCATGAAGAAGAATAATGCTTATGCCGTGGCTGTGGCCAATTATGCTCCAAATATTACCAAGGACCCAGTTCTTTCCACCATCTCCAAGAGTGCCACCACAGCAGAAACCAACAAGAAACCAGAGGGAAAGCCGGCAGAAGCGAAGAAAACATTCAACAGTGTTAGCAAGATTGACAGAATGTCTAGAATAGTTTTCCCAGTGTTATTTGGTACTTTTAATCTAGTGTACTGGGCAACATATCTAAACAGGGAGCCTGTGCTTTTAGGGTTTGCTCCATCAACCTAGAACTCCCACCTAGTATGGATACCGCAAAATGAAGATCTGCTAGGTTGTTTTGTTATGTACAGTCCGACTAATAACTGCTAATTTGTGAACCAATATGTACAGAATGTATATAGAAATCTATCTTATCAGTAAGTCTCCAAAGGAGGCCCACATTTGCTAATTCATGGGATCTGTAAGCAGATAGTACCCATGCCAACTGAGCCATTGCTTTTACAAAGGTGTACCGAGAAAAGTTAGTTTGAAGTCAATTTCAGGTATGCTGAGTATGACCTCTATTTACCATAGAAATGAAAATGGGAGTCCTACACAACACTTCTGGAACACTTTTGTTTTAGTTAGATGTTAGGATTTTTCTCTATTCATGTCTAATTTTACAATAACGGATGAAGTTATCATTAAAAGGATGAGTTGTTTTTGTTTTTGTTTTTTAACAGCAGGGTTTGTTCTCTGCAAACTTAATACTTTCTCTGAGTGCTCAGAATCCTTTCTGATGTATTAGGGAGTTTGGTGCACATAAGAAGAATGCTAGGAAGCAAGATTCAGCCTCTAATTATTCTGTACAGTTTATTTATTCATGTACATATTACAGTATGGTGACCTCAAACTTTAGATGATTCACAACCTGACAGGATGTTAATTATGCTTAGAATTGAATAACTGTTGGAATGCCATAGTCATTATTTTCTTACCTTCAGACCTTATTGGAAAGTTATCAATGAAGCAGTCATTGAAACCCTGCAAATTATTTTTGTCAGCCACAGACAATTTAAATTCTTAGTGTCTCCATTTCACAAAAGAAAGTGTCTTACTCTTTCAAGTGTCTATTGTTTTGAGATCGATCAGCCAAATTGCCTTGGTTTGGAGACAGGAAAAATTCATTTCAAACTTTGAAGGGTGTTGAGCAATGCTGACATTCCCACTCCTCAGAAACTGATCAGAGCTTTTGTGTCCTGGAGAAGAGATATAAAAACTGTAAGATACTCACTGTTCCTGTTTACTAATACAGAAAATTCTGCCTTAAGGCTTCTCTCTTCATCATTTTGGGAAAGCCACTGATTCTGAAGGAAGAGGCAGTTAAAGTGGCACTTTTTCTCTATCCTAAAAGCAGCTCTCTCAGATAAGATTTAATGTAAATCTGCTTTTGTAAATTGCGACTTTACATTTTGCTGACATAACTTTACAATGGCTTTGTATACCAGAAAAGGTTTTGGTAAGAGTTGAACATTTTTTTACTTAAACTTTAAAGCATTACTGGCACTTATTGACTATTTCACACACACACACACACACACACACACACACACCTCACACACAAATAGCAAGATTAGAAGCTGTTTTCAATTTTATATCGATGTTGAATAAGAGTGATAAATTTTTGTTTTTGTTTTTCATTTGACTGTTTTGAAAATATCCTTTATGCCCTGAGACAGCTTTTAAAAAAATGTAATGATTGTGTCTGATCCCTAGCTTCCAGGCTTCTGGACACTCTAAAAGCCCTTTTGATTCACACATATATTAGCAGTTATTAGTTGACCTTTACCAAGAGATCACCTTTATGATGATGTCTTTGTAGAAACATGTAGTCGTACAGTGTCATTTCTTGCAGTTTTGTACAGTATTTGAGTCTAGTGCATAAAATAGGTATGTTTAAAAATCAATAAAAGGAATATCTTCTGATGTGGAAAAAAGCAAAAAGAACTAAACAATGTTGCTTTCATTTGCCTTTTTTTCTTTGTTTCTTCTAGTATTTTCTTTTTAAAAAATGTGATTCTCTTCTGTACTGTGTATGACTATATTGAAATCGAGGTCACAAATTCATCTTAATAATAGAATTTACAGTGAAGACAGATTTAATAGTCAATAGTCCCACAGGCTACAATATAATCCATAAAACATAAAAGAAACCAAAGGGTGATACGTGAATTCAATATCAATTTCCCTAATCCCCTTCTAATGATGCCTTTTTTTATCATAAAAGTAGTTTAAAACATGCACTTTACTCAGACATTTAGCTAAAAAGGACCTTATTTTCATACATATATTTGTATACATTGTAGATCTCCCATGTAATTCAAACATATTTGCAATGACATGATAAAGTATGTAAGGTTTGAAGGCACACAATTAAAGGGATATTGTTTTTTTCATGATATATATCTATTATAAATTTAAAGATGTTTTTATTTGTAAATTATGAGATATGTCCTTAATGTCAAACTATCCAGGTACAAATTATAAATTTATAAATATGTATATATGTAAAAAAGCCTGTAAATAATTGGTTCTTCAAATCAACCACCGCCATGAACAATCTCTCTCTCTGCTTTTGGCAAAGGGCTGTCCCTGCATTGTTTATTGCTGGCTTCAGTCCTATGTGCAAGTTGGAGCAGATTGTCTAGAATTATTATTTTCTGTGGTTTCAATGGTTGAGGATCTTCTGTCCTAATTACACTGTAGTTATATCATATGTTCACATAATTTATTTCAGAATGCTCTGTTACTGCTCTGACTTTGGTGCATGTATTTGTGTGCATATCTCTAAATAGAATCCTTTAGGAGTTTGAATAGATATGGAGGAATGTTGAAATTTTGTTGGGGAGAAGTAGGGAACTCCATGGAGAACAAGGATCACAACTTACAGAGCCATGAACTTGACAATTTTACTCACCCTTTAGAAAAACAGTTCATAATACAGACTAATGAAAGCAATGGCTTACTCCAAGGAGAAAAAACAAAACCTTCAGGAAATTAGGTATTAAGTACCCCGAGCATGCTCTCCTGGCATATGAATGCTAATTTCATGTATGTGTAGATATGATATCTGAAATTATGAACATAAAAGTTGAAGATGTGTATAATTGTGTTATCAGGCAGGCTCTGCTTTGAAATTAATTCATGAAATTGCCATTAAAGTTGAGAAATTAATATGAATCTCATCCCTTTAGATAAGATGCTAAAATAAGATGATCAATGAAATATGCAAAACTAGCTTAATATTTGAGATAGTTTTATATTTTTCTGCTATCTATTTCCTATTAATTTAAATATAAAACTGTAAGGAATATAACCAGTACATAAATTCATTAAAAATCAGTATTTTTTTAATTACCAGCCTTAATAATTTTACAAGGGATCTTAAAATGATGCTACTCCTCAGTTTCTCTGTATTTGCAGTTTGTCTCAGGATTAGATTAAGAAACATCTTAAATTATCTCTTCAGCTTCATAAAAATATCAAAATTCACATAAAAAATCCACTACTCATACAGCTGAAGGTTCTTAGGTCTTATATTTATTATTTATAATTTGGAAAGCTTTAAGATCCATGAGAGAATTCACAAACTATATTTTTATTTAATGTGTTGTGGAGTTGGGGTGGAGATTAGGCATTACTATCCTATGAATTTCTGGTATATACGGTACAAGATGGTGACAACTGGCTCCTTTGGCATGACTTTTCTGTTTTCAAAGAAGAAAGGGAAGGAGAAGGAGAGAAATAAGGCAAATAAATATGCTGGCTTTCTGCATGTTATCAGATTCCTTAAGTATACTTCCATCCATCTATACATTCATACAGCCCACACTCATTGAGTACTCAATATGAGTAAGGAATCATATAGGAAAAGACTCATCAGAGAGCTCTACTCTCTTAATACTCAATGGATTTTAATCCCCAACTGGAAGAGCAGTTTGACCATGTCAGTTAAACATGACTGAATTCCCATAGTTTATTTTGAATAGTCAACTTTCTTAACATCCTTATTAAGAAACTATTTAAAATTGCCATTAGTTTTACTAAAAAATAAAATATATGAAATAAGGCAATTTATTTTGTTTCCAGTCTTATAACCAATGTTTGACATAGTCCTGAATCCAGGTACATGAATCTTCTGCCTGATTTGTCTACGTAGAAAGATGGACAGTTTTAGGGATTTATCCACTAGCCTAATACTACCCAGTTCTGACCTTGATTTTCTATTAACTGAGCTCCTTGCACTTAAGATCTCTACTGAACTAGTCTATTAAGCCCAAAGGCACAGGATTAAGACCATTTGAGGAAGTAGTTTTGGCTTAGAATTTGTAGTAACAATACACTGATGTGCATATCTTAAGACAGATTGTTTCATGCATAGGCCTGAATTATGATGCAACATTTATTCACTTTGTCCCTTTTGGGTTGAATACATAGTTTTAAAAAAGGGGCAGCTAGATGGCACAGTGGATAGAACACTGGCCCTGAAGTCAGGAGGACTTGAGGTCAAATCCAGCCTCAAACCAAACATTTGACACTTAACTAGCTGTGTGACCTTGGGCAAGTCATTTAACCCCAATTGCCTAAAAAAAAAACTGAAAACCTTTCTTTATCATACTTCCTGACCATATCCTTGATCTGTATAGTTTTATGTATCACAAATCAATATAAACATCATTCCTGTATTTAATCTGAGGTTAGCGTGCAATTGTTGTGTTACAAAATCCAAAGAAACAGAAAGCAGATTCATGGAATAAAGAGGAAAAAATAAGGGAAGGTAAGGATATACCACATATGAGTGTTTCAAATTTAAGACAAGCAAGAACCTCATGTTTTCCTCTTAAAAAACAAGGAAGAAAATAAATAAATGCGCTTCCAAGTATTATAGTATTTCAACAACCTGTTTAAAGAAATATTGATAATTTTACTAAGAGAAAAAGGCATAAAAATCCTTATTAAAAATAAAATTTACTTAAAAAGAACTTTTGTTCTAGGAAGACAAAACCAACAGTTTAGTTCTCTTCAAGTATATAGTTCACATATATGTTGTATTTTAAATATTTAGTTAGAACCATGTTTTAAACAACACTTTTTTCTTCCCTATATTTGATTTAAGTTTTCAGAATTTTGTTTAGTTTAGAAAAATCCCTATTTTTTATAAAATATATACATTTAATTAAATGTAGACCACCTTCTTTCTTTACATTGTAGCTAATGACCTAATGCTAATACATAATCCTAGTAGGAAAGAAAAATAAATTATTTTGTATGCTTCTCTTCCCAAAGAATTATTAGGTAATATCCTAAAGTTTGAATCTATATGTTTACAAATGAAGATGGAACCTAGAAACTAAATGGGTAATGTGAGACATGAGAATTTCATATGAATTTGTGAAGCTTAAAACTTTTCCTTTATGCACATATCCAACTGGAAATTTTTCCCTTATACATTTAAATTTCTAATATTAATAAGTCAACAGAATAATATGTCTCCAAATGAATGCCAGGGATTATTTTGAAAAATGTTCTATAAAATTCTTAAAAGTTTGTAGAAACAAAGTATCCAACCCATTGTCAAACGCACATTTAAAGGCCAGTGCAATTGACTGGTTTGAGATCCAATGTAACTTTCTCATCATAGAGTAGTATTAGTTGTTGTAAACCAGGAATTCTATTTAATGCATGCCTAAAGTCACTTACTTTCTTATTTAAGTGAAGTGAGCAAATTGTTGTGTTTGACTGAGCACTCACATTAATATTTTTCCAATACTTTTGAGTTAATGTTAACATAGCCATCTGCAACCTTGGAGCTACTAAAAGACAATATGAAATTCTGGCCCTGTTCTTCTGTGAATAAAAACTACCAATTCTTATAGAGAAATGATAAAAAAATCCATTTTAAGTAGAAGTATTGATTAATATAGGTTATGGTTTTATTTGCCATTCTGTATTGTCACTTACTTTTGTCATTTCCAAGTTGGTAATTGCATTCAGGAAGCTATTTTTTAATATAAATTTTTATTATTCATTTCATACTTGAGGTCATTTTGTTTCACTGACACAAATTTGTCAGCAATTTAGGGAGAGGGGTTATACTTTGCTTTGAAATGTTATTTGCTTAAAAATACGTAATTCTCCAAATTGAAATCCAAATATCAAGTAAACTTGTTATACTTTCTCTCTCTGGCCCCACTCACCCCTTACTCATCATGATGTATTACAGGTTCAAAAGAGAATCATGAATTGAACCTAAGTCTCCAGATGAATTATAATATGTGGCTTTATATGTGAAAGAGGCTTAGGGAAATAAATCAAAAGCATTGTGCTGCAATTGTTGAGGTGAAAAATTGTTTTTTGTCTTAGATCTGCCCCACTCTCCCTGCTACCATTCAGTTTAGTTCATTTCTTGAGTGAAACTTTATAGTTCACCTGTTTACTCTCTCAGTAAACAAACATTTGTGAAACCTAGTGCTCTGGCCTAGTTGTACTGTGGTGTACTGGGCAAAGAGACAGTGAGATACCAATATTCAGATCCTATCTCTAACAAGTACTGTCACCTTGGTCATCATATTGCTAGCACCTAACGTTTGTATTTGTGACTGTGGCTAAATCACTGACAACTCAGTTCTTCACTGGTGGATGGAGTTTCCACACTTGGAGTTCCCCACACTGGGGAAATGACAGGACCTTACTAACTTCCCCCTGCTCCAATAATAGTGATACATTAATAATCCTTCTGCTGAGATAACAAAAAGGTTAAGTATTTGATCCCACTAGAAAGCAAGGTTTGCAGAAACATATCATTGTTATTTTTCAAAAGCAAATATATCACTTAAGAGTTTGTGAAATATAAGGTCCTTAGGGTTTGGGCCTTTGGTTATTGTATCCATAGCACCTAGCAAAACAACTGGGATGTGATGGGTGCTT